CATGTGTCAATTCATGCGCTATATTGTCGTTTAATGGTGAAGAGATAAATGATGCCAAACAGTTTCTTTTACCACGAAGAGGCCTCTCTTCGTTGGGGGGGAACTGGCTAAACCAACTTGATCTGTGACCGCTTATAACAGAATTAAATTATTACAATTCTGAAGAGACAAACAAGAAGCTAATGTCTAAGGTCGAATCATTGTTTCCAAATCTGTCCAAATTAGTTCAGGGCAAGGAGTTTATAATGGAAACAAATTATATATATATAATTTGGAATAACTTGCCCTGAACTAATTTGGGCAGATTTTGAAACAATGATTTGACCTTAGACATGATCTTCTTATTTGTCTGTCTTTCTGAACAATGATTCTCGAAGTTTCAAGCTTTTCAAATTACAGAAATTTTTTGGTGTAATTCATTATCCCAGAAAAACTATTCATACGGTAATAAAAAAAGATAAACGATGAATAAAATAAATTAATTAAAAAGAGAAAAACGTGTGCTATTAAAAAAATATCTCCGTTCGATTATTCCATTTCATGAATTAAGGAACCTGTGTCATTTATTCCTATAATTTCTTGATCAAAGAAACAACAATTTTTTTTTTAAATATGTAAAACATCATTAATTACTGATTGATATTTACAGGACACCGTCATTAGAGTAATATAAGACGCACCATAACTACAAATAAAACAGTACTCGCAATTCCCCATCATCCTTCTCTTGAAACGCACCCTGCGTAGTAAAATAGGACGTATTTAATCCCTGTCCTACTCCTTGCTCTCAACACCACGTCGCTGAGGGTTAAAAAAAAAAAAGATACCAATCATTTAATTTAATTATCAATATAAATATTTCAATGAGAACAAAACAATATTTTCGTAAAAAGGAACTTTAGGGTGATTGCATGGAAAGCTAAAAAAGTGTTTTGTTTCCTGCTTTTAACTTTTTCAATGGTTATAAATATTATATATTATGAATGCATTGTAAAGTATTCGTATCTTCGTAGTATTGATTCTGTGTGTCTGATGCAAAATACATACTTATTTAAAAGAATTCAAAATTGTGTAATTATTATTAATTATATTTAGATTTTTACTTTCGGTCATCAAGATAATTTTCTCTTTTTTATCATTTTCACGTGACGTCATCAATAGTTTCCTATATTGTTTGTTTATACTGATTAATAATTGCGGAGACCAATTAAATACCAAAAGAGTCCTCCAATATTAGCAAATCAATCGTATGCTGCGTTTTCTCATAACAAAGATGTCAGGATACAAGCTGTTTTGGGATAAATGTAGTCAAGTACACACACATGTAGTAAAGTTGTGTCATTGCGTGATTTCGTCAAATCTACATATTAAAAGTAAGATACAAAACTATTGTATTTTGTCCATCCACGTAAACGTATTAAATAAAGTCATTTCCTACCTATGTCCCCAAAGGTGCTCAAGTAACTAAATTCGGACGACGAAGACAAAATATTTATCTGAATGATATTGTTTTACTTACAGTACCACAGTACAAGTTAACATAAGCACGTGCCAAGAAAAATATATAGTAAATTTATCCTAAAAAACATTATTGTTTATTTGACAGAACTTACAAGGCCACATAAACATTATTATATATAGATTGTTTATTTTTCCAGAGTATTTACCATTATTGAACACACAAAAAAAAAAAAGAAATATAGTGAACAATTGTTATAATTCTTCTATCTTGGTTGTTTGAGTCAGAAAAAAAAATGAATACAGTGAATAATTCTTGGAATGAAGAAGTTGAGGGCAGTAGTAAATCCAGGATTTAATTTAGGGAAAGTTACGATTTTATCTTTTGATTTTTTTTTTTTTTAATAACGGTAAATACTCTGAAAAAATAAACAATCTTATACATAATAATGTTTATGTGGTCTTTTTTTTTCTTTATGATATTTACAACTGTATTACATAAATACATCAAGTAAATTTGGACATAATTGATATAATGACATGAATACACTTGCTGAGTAACTACCCAATGGTAGCAGTCTAATGATATGACTACATTAGGAGATCACGGGGCCATCTTCTTTTCAGACGCCTCGGAGGGTTATCAGGAATTGAAGAGGAAGCAAGGTTAGAAACGAGAGGGTTGGGATGATTCTGAAGTTTATTATGGAAGGATAGGTATCTGGATTGGGCAAGATCTGAAACATAAGGAACATTAAGATCTTTATGGATAATTTTATTAGTGACAAAGTAAGGAGCATTGAGGATTTTACGAAGGATTTTGGATTGTAAGGATTGGATGCGAGAGGAATTCGATGGTTTAGTGGAGCCCCATAGCTCAACTCCGTAAGTCCAAATAGGTCTTATTATAGTCAAGTATATGAGTCTTTTGTAATTAATGGGAAGTTTAGAGCGTTTGTCTAGTAAGTGCTGAAGTAATCGGAAACGTCGAGCGGTTTCTTGTCGTTTCAGTCTAGTATGAGGATTCCAAGTTAGTCGTTTGTCCAGGTGGAGTCCTAGGTATCGGATTTGCTCAACAGGGATAAGTGGAGTATTGTTAAAGGAAACTGTAGGACAGGAAGTCGTTGGTTTACGTGTGGTCTTTTAACTCCTGTGAAATAAACAATAATGTTTTTTGTGATAAATGTAATTTTTCTTGACACGTGCCTACATTTATTAGCTGAAATACGAGCATTACAATTTACAAAGAGTATATATTTTGATTTTTAATTATTTAGCACAGATCATTCATAGAAACAAATATGGACAAGTGAAGAAAAATAGGTATATATTTTTCCATTATAGATGTTAAATATAAAATGATCTGTGTCCGACCATAGGCTGAAGCCTTCCAACTTCAGCCTGTGGTCACAGGCGGATCTACGGGAGGGGGGGTTTTCGGACTGAAGCCCTTCTCCCCAAAAACGGTAAAATATAACCATATTTTATAGGAAAAAAATAGTAAAAACTATCTCTTAAAGTATTATTGTTCGTGTAATTACATTTAGTAGGACTTCAAGAATCACTTAAACACCATTTCATATAGGTAGTTAATTTCTTTCTTTCTTTTTTCAAATTAATTATCGTTATAAATATATGAAAAAAAAATCTTTCGGGCTGAAGCCCTCCCCCCAAAATTAAATCCTGGATTCGCCAGTGTGTGGTTGAAGGCAGTACTTACAGAGCAGGTATGTTTGATTTTGATATTTACTATCAATACATTGTCCAATAATATAAAAGGACCCTTCTTTGCGCTGGAGGATTTACGTGTCCAGAAGTAATTCTTTCCTTCACCGAGATCGTGTACAAAATATCCGCTACACGCATTTTCCAATACTTGTCTTCTTATTGTTCATTGCGATTTCCTTATGTAATTATGAGCACGTGTGTTGCTTTATTCATTTATGAACTAGTTTACTACCAAATACTTGTTTCTTCATAAAGGAGCATAAATTAACAAATTTCAATTTGATAATAATAAGCATCATAATTTTAAAAATTGAACAATTGCGATTGCTTTGAAAATTTAGCTTAGATAACTCACAGTAACAAATATGGAACAACATTTTTTTTTTCATTTCCTTTTTTTCATCTCTCCTCCCCGCCCCCCCCCCCCATAGACCCACAAGTGCATGCAATATAATTTCATTATTTTATATTACCGCAAACCTCTTGTAGGTTTGCTATCACAAATACCAATTATATGAAATCAATCTCAATCGAAGCTTCATATCAATATCACGGAATTCCGTATTGATTGATATCAATAATAATTCTTTTGTATAACACTTTTTAGAATCATCAAAACAAAAAAACTTATAATAATAATTTTAGTTGAACGTTATTGTGTTGAGCCTTAAATAAGTTGAAAGTTGAACTTTCCAAATGGTATCATCTACTATGAACATCAATTTCATGGTTAGGAGCAATTTTTACTTGAAGTGGATACAATAAATTTAATCTCATAAATATTTCCGTAATTATTGATCTTATCAAAATAATGAATAGGACCATTATGACAGAGATTGTAAAGTACTTCAATATTGTACTGAACAATTTCTGCGAAAAACCAAATAGTTTTTGAGATATTCTGAAAACAAATATCATTTTTCTATCCTTCTCATCCTCTCCCACCATCAAAACCCGACGCGGGATTCTTTGAGACTTTTTGTCAGTTATTATGGGGAGGGCAATGAAAAATTTCTGACTAGTTTCATCTCTATTTTTTTATGTTGGGGTCAATCCGTAATTTTAATGGACTATTATATCAAATCACTGTTATATAAATTTGAACATCGATAAATTTATGACGGCTGTCAAAACTGTCTTAAAACTGTTTGTGGGGTACTTCACGGCTGTCGATGATATAATAAATAAATTTAAATTCGCTAATTTATTATATCATCGAAACAGCTACCGTTAATATAAAATAATGAACTTATATTATACTAGAAGATCTATGATAATAAATTAATGATTTTTTATTTTGATCAATATTTTTTACTGTGAGTGATTTAAGCGAAATACTTAAAGCCATCACAGCATGTTCTATTTTTTAAATTATAGTGTTTATTATCTTTCTGTTTTGTTTATTTATTTTTACTTATTGTTCACAGAGTGTGAATGAGCTATTCTATCACTATCACTGATGTCCTTAATTATGAAAAATGTAATATTATTCAATAAAAAATTTGAAAAAAAGAATTATAATGCTTATACAGCTACTAAATGTAAACATGTCTTATGAAAAAAAAAAAAAAAAATTTTAAATCATCCTCAAAAAGTATTATTGTACTTGTTTTTTTTTTTTAACAGGATTTCAACTATCAATTTATGTAAGTTGGTTTCTTGCCTTTTCTTCAAAAGTAATTAATTATCTTTATATGCATAAAAAAAGACAACTTAAGGCTGAAGCACACCTCAGAATAAAATACTGGATCTGCTACTGTCTCTTTAGTACAAAACAAAAAATACTTTCTGCATATAAACGACATAAGACTTACTTTCCGTAATCTTCGTCGGAAGGTCTCGGCGACGGGGACCTGCTGAACTTGCCCGAGAAAGGGTTGAGGCTTTGTGCTTCCAGGTGCTTACTCGCCTGTTGGTCGAATTTGTGGATCATATCGTTGAGGAGTCCTCCGACGGGCATCTTGTATCGCGGTCACTTAGAGACTGTCCTCCCTTGGCGGCTCCTCGGGGTTATAGCTGCCCCACCCTGGACCCTCGCCAGCCACCTCCACCTCCTGCGGTAAACAGCGTCTCTCTCAGGACCGGAAGGGAAAAAAAAGACTATTCCTTCTATTCGGTCGTCGTTACTTCTTTCAAAACAAAGCTAAATAAAGACTGCACGCCAATGGTATCACTCGTCATATAGACATGTGATCATTTAAGGATTTACAACTGGCGCACGGTGGGACCAGTAAGGGAAAACTCGTGACATCTATTTGAATCTGTCTAAATCTTTTTTTTTTTTTTTTTTTTAGAACTCCAAAAACTAGATCAGCTGTTTTATCGATACCTTGTGTTGTTGGCGAAGTTTCCGAGAATATTTCCAGTTGGAACAATAGAAAGTTTTTATTGAATATTTCAATCTAAAACAAAAAATTGAATTAACCGATATCACCAGTTTTCCCCTACTCCTCCCACAGTGCGCTGTGGCAACACCATTAATACACATCTTCCTTAGTCACAAAGATAATCACTATTTCTCTGCAATTCATTTGGCAGATAGTGAAAAGAAAACAGCTCATATGAAATCCAGGAAAATAAATTTATTTGACTTTTTATTCTCAATAATGTGATATTAATTATCATATTTGGAATAAATTATAAGAGAACTACAATAAAATTGTAATGCAGTTCCAACTGTATTGATTTGCTAACTGACCGAGCATACTAATCTATCTGGTGTGACAATATTTAACAATTTAGCTACATACATTTGTATATAAAAATGTCCTTTGTTGTTTCTTTCCTTTTCTCATCACATTCTTCTCATTCTACCGCCCAGATCCATAAAGCAATGACCTGATTTAATAGAGGTGATGATGCAGGATTTTCAATGAGTCAAAAATAATGGACTCCGCAATACTCTGTATCTCATTTCTTTCAACACCAAGCTTTTCCAAAAAAAAAAAGCCGTTGAAAGAGGAATTGCTCCACTACTTCCAAACCAAAGTACTGAAAAATTTCTCTCTCCAAATTCCTCTCTATATTTCTCTTTCAGTTACGGAATGCATTTTTCATATGTTTTCTCCTTCTCAATTGTATCTTGAGATCTTGCTGCTCATCGTTCGTCTCATATCTAATTGTAGGATCGGCTAATAAGAGCCTCCTTTCCTTTTTCATTAAAGGCCAAGGTGTCTACCTTTATAATATAAATGATATATAATCATGATATATAATATAAATGACAATTTACTTAATATTACTAATTGCTTTTTAACTGAAATTTAAATGGTGGAATGTCTATGAAATAAGGGAGTCAGATACAAAACTTAGATTATTGAAGTCCTCTGTTAAAAAAGTATTGACATACAGTGGGCTGTTCAAGCCAATCTAGCTGGACAAAGTTCAAAATATCGAGAGTGAATATTTTTATGGGAATTGACATAAAACGTATAATTATGAGGAATTAAAGATTTAGTAAAGAAAAACAAACAATATGTGTAAACAAATTAAGAAACATTCAAAATTGATAGTCGATGTTTAAAAATAATGTGTACATGCCTGATTGCTAAAAATTTCACATCTCTCAGTTAAAACGTGTTTCAAAAATGTGGATTTAAACTATGGAGAGAATCTTTTTTTTTTTTTTAAGTTTTGAATTGAATTCATAAAATTTTTCGTTGATTTATAAATAATGTTTTTGAATTTGCTTACAAACGTGAAATTAAGATGCATTTAATGTTCCTTTCCATAACGTTTCTGGAACATCAGAGAACATCATAAAATATATATTTCCACATAAGTGCATTTTTTAAATAATAGAAATAATATTTTTCATTTAAGTTGCGAACCGTAGCAGCTGTATTCACACATGAGACCAAAAAGTAATTAATAAAATGAAACAGAAATGATGTGGTATATCCTATGAATATGTACAAAATAAAACAAACTTTGGGATCCTACTCAATGACTGACAGAACTTAGGATGATTCAAGACACCAACATTACAAGTAGCAGTAGTGATGATAAAAGTGACTTGGACTAATTATATTGTAGATATATATGGTTTTAGCAACGTGGTGTATCAATTATTTACTTCTATTAATCAATAATTGATCATTTATTAATCTGATTTATACATAATATGTTATTTTAGCAAACTATAATGTTTAAGAAATTCTATTGATTTCTTACTTTTTTATTAGCAGAGTCAGAAATAATATATGGTGTCCATTCATATTTTAATTGCGTATAATAAAAACGTTTCCAAGATTTAAACACTCTTTTTCACACTATGTAAAAACAATTTTTATTAAAAAAATAAATTTATTTTGACTTCTGTCCCACTAGATTTTGTATACAGCTCACTGTAAGCAGTGGAAACATAATTAAATGTAAATCTTCTTCTATGCGACCATCACAAAAATAATCGCAAAGGTATTCAATATTTATCCAGAATTCATAAAACTTGTTTTCAGCAGACACCCAAAAAATTAATATTTTTTACTCTGAATTATTATATTACTTTTCTCATTTCAAATAAATTAAAAATAACAATAATTATGGCTATTGGCGGCTTATTGCAAAAAGCCATAGAGTGACATTTCATTTAATAAAATCACTAACTAAACAGATAAAGTTTGCTTCTGTGGAATCGGAGTATTATACTCTTGATGTAACTATATTTATATTTAACATATAAAAGTTTTTTTTTTTTCCATTAGGATGCCATTACTGTGGTATTTATAAATGTGGTCGTAATCAAAATTTTATATCTATCAAAAATAAACTAATTGTATGTGACTATTTACGGGAAACCGACGATATAAATGATAATGTATGAATTACAATGTTCAATTGAAAATTCTTGGTGATGTCAAAAATAAAACTTCTTTTTTTATCTTCTACATATATTTTATTATTTATTTATAGTCTTATAAAAATATAACAGTGGCAGATTCAAGAATTTGCCGATGGAAGAATGACTATTTACGAAGAGGTGAATTGTTTCACTTTGAATTGTCCACTATTTAACCAGTAAATCAAAAATTATTATTGTAAATATTCAGATTTCTTAATTAATTCATTGATTTTTAGTTAATTTTTAAAGATAATTTTTTCTCACCATTGAGGGTAGTGGGGACCTCTCTCCCCCCACCTCTCTCCTTTGGACCCACTATTGAGGTATATTATATTAATATTTGTCATATTTTCTTAAATATTTATTGCTTTGACGTCTATTATTCAGCTTCTTGTTCTTCTTAAAACTGATGAAGACCGACAACTTAAACCGAAATGTAGGAACGTGATCCATTACTGTATGTTTTATCTCTGTCCGCAACTCCAATCATTGTAATACACTGATATACATTCATGATACATGATATAAATACATGATAAATTTATTGTTATACATCATCTCCTTACTTAACATTGGTTATATTTCAAATATCAAATATTCTGGATATATTAAGTTTAGCATCATCAAACTAATTGTAAAAAGACCGGTACAACTCAATATATAAATTTTTGGATTATCATAATCATCTTATTGAAGTATATATTTGTGTGAGTGTGTGAATAGTGTATAATGGCTAATAACATATTTATACTCTACATTATACTTAACATTACACACTACACACAAACTAAAGTAAAGTATATTATAGAACAAAAAAATCAGTGTTTCTTCATTTTTTAAATTATTACTTTTCCTTGTTTTTTTTGTTTACTGCCTTATTTTTAATGAAAAATGTTATTGAAATACATATATTTTTTTAATGTAATTTAATAATTATTTCTGATTCTATAGCAAACTAGATCTGAAAAATGATGAATAGTGTTGTGATTAGAGAGTGTTATGTAATACGGAACTCGTGGATTCAGTCATGTAAATAATAATGTACTATATAAAATGGTAAAGTTTAAAAGTTTGTAAAATAAAAATTAAAGATGTCCAATTCTAATAAATAAAATGTTTATTGAAATTACCTTATTTTTTCATTATTTTATTTTTCCACATTTTAAACAGAAAACGTCGATACATTTATACATGATTATTCATTTAATTATTATTATTATTGTTATAACGTGTGTTCTATTTTAGATACAAAATAACGTTTTGGTGGAAAAAATATTACTTATAGAATGCTGTAAACTTAATTTAAAATTTAAAATTTTTTAAGCGAGTAATGCTTTTTGTTGAATAGGAAGCGATAACTTAAAAAATATTTGATTTAAGTAACTAAACATTGCTCCATATTAAATTTTAAAAAATTAACTTTAAATGAAAGTAGAGTTTGCCATTGTTACAACTATTTAAAGAGGACTATTGGACAGACAAACAGCTAAATTCCTTTTAAAAAAGTCTAAATTATTTGTAATTTTTTTGTCACTCTTTAACTGTACTACATTTACTTCACTTTTAGAAAAACTTTCTCATTTAATTAGCTTTTAGTATACATTAATTTATTTGAGACTACTTAGGACAAATTTTGAGAATCATCTCAAGTTGTGTAAAGAAATGATGAGATTTTCTATCCAGTCACCTAAAAGTATCCTTGTTTTCAGCAAAAAGACTACAATTAACTATTGCAAAGCTTTTATTTCTTTTATTTCTGTGATATGGTATATATTGTAATAAACACAATTGCCTACAAAAACATTTTATTTATAAATATAAAAAATTTAAAAATTATAATTTTTCAAATATTTTTCATATAAGATGGATCATGAGTCTAGTTTACTATAGAGTAATGTTTAGTTACTTAAATCAAATATTTTTTATGTTATGGTTTCCTATTTAACAAAAAATTTGATTTGCTTGAAAAAACACAAATCTTAAATTTTCTACTTTTCCGCTAAAAATTGGACAATTTTTTTCAGATCTTTATGTCTGCTATCAACCTTTTAAAGATTTCCATCTTCTTACGGGACATCCTGTTTAGGGAACTCAGAGTGAAAACTAGGGTGTAACTTCATTTAGAACTATTAATTACCATGTTTTTCCTGCCCATCAAATCTGTAAAATGTATACCATTTGCATCACTTTCCAATTCCTTTTACAACTGTGTATAGTGCCAAACAATGCTAATGATTTTGACAAAATTATCAGATCCAGCTCAACAGTCTAGAAAAAAACCTTGGTCTATTGAGACAATCGTTGCTTAAAAATTGTATACAAAATAAATTTATAAAAAGGTACATGTATAAATAGTGTACTATATTATATAAACTTAAATGTTTTTTCACATTGAATCTGTTCCTGATAATAGATTAGATTTTAGGTGTTACATCATGAATTTCATACACAATAAATAAGTAAATAATATATTTGCTGTTTTTAAAATTACTCTTAAGATTAAAAACAGACAAAATTGTATAAAATCGATTTTGATCCACTTAAAATATTATCAAAAACAATCTAAAACTTTATGATTTTCTTTATATTTAATAACTAATTTTAACTAAATAACTTTTTGAACTGTGCAACTCAAGAGGTGTTATTTTTATAGTTTGATTAGGTAAAAATGGTTCAGATGATTTTAGGCATATAAATTTTAAATTTCATAAACAAAAATCAATAATAATAAAAAATAAACAAAATAGCACAGTATATTGCTTTATAATAATTACCAAAATATAAAAAGAACATCAACATAGATAGAACATAAAAAGAACATAGATTTATGTCATCAAATGCCAAACCGATTCAATCTACCTTTTTTGTGAAAATTCCACAAGTTCTCATTGCACCAAACAAACCCATATTGACAAAATTTACTCAATCCAGTATAAATGTAGGTCCAATCTCAAGGGGTTAAATATATGAAAAGATAAATCATCCAATATTTTGATATCTTCTGCAAAATTGTTTAAAATGCATAGTGCCGCTTTTGAATCCAATTGTCTCATACATTGTTTTATACTTTTACAAATCATTACAGCTAAACTCAGTTATCTGAGATAAAAACAGTTTTGTTTCTTCTAAGTTAAGATTCATAGATATCATAACATTAATTATGAACCAATTACAGCAACAAAATAGGAAATGAAGATTAAGCTTTATTTTCTAAAGCAAGTATATTTAGAATATATTTTTATTTTTAAACTAAAACTGATATAGAGCAGACAGAATATGTGTTTTTTGCACCAAACAAACCCAGTAGAATATGACATGATAAAAATCAAATTTAAAAGTGGATGCAATTATTTATTTCAAATAGTCTTTACATTTGTAGGGATACATATTACCTACTTTTTTAAATTCTTGTATAATTCAAAAGAGTGAATTAATTAAATGATAATATTTATTTTGATTGAAAATATTATGCAAAATAAAGAAAAATAGGTTTTAAAAGAATGAATGGAACTTAGGGTTTAAAAATAAAAATGAGTTCATAATGTTAATAAACCTAACGAAATGGCTGGTATGGTCAGTAATAATAATAAACTACTGAAGTTGAAGAATCAAATAATGAGGAATCGAATTATGCCAGTTTGATACTTTTATAATTATTTAAAGTTATTAAGCAATAAATAAAAAACCGAAGCTATAAATAAACGATCGCATTTAAAGTTTATTTTGTTTCATTGTAAAAGAATAGTTATAGACATAAAAAACAAAATAAATAAATAATAGAATATTGACTATTTATAAAGCTTAACAAACAGTTAATCTGGACTGTGATGGAACACCCTTTTCTGTAAACATAATGAAAATCGTCATGAAGTTTTAGAAATTAAAAAACTAATTATACTTGATTTAAAAAAAAAAATAAAGAGAGTGGACTGAATTTAATCTACTATGAATAGGTTAATGTAAAATTTTATTTTATATTTGGTGTAGAATAACACAGCTAAAATTATAAATTTTAATATTATATCTTTACACTTAATTAAATATATTTCATAAAATTCAGGAGTGGCTTTATGTAGGTTCCTGTTCTTCCAGATCTTGGCATGGGGCTGATTGAATGTTGCCTTTAGCAATAGCATTGATTTCTTTTATTGGTTTCAGTAAGGCAATGAGGACATCATCATCCCTTCTCTGTAAAATAAATGTGAATTTAATCATATCGTCGGCATAATGTTAAAGTAACGAATCTTAACCTGTCCATCAGTGCACATACTTTAACATGATGCTGATAATATATAGGTACTAAAAAATTAAATCAACATAACTATTTTGAAAATATTAATAAAGTTAGTAAATATTAATAAATTTATAATGAATCTTACAAAAAATATCAACAACCTACACAGAAAAAGGACAGGGATTCAAAAACTATAAACGGATTAATCTGTGTTGTACAATGAAAGGCAGTATTTTTTATTCCTTGATTATGATTTAATATTTATTCATTAATATTTCCATAATTTCTGAGCATCTACACCAACTAAGGACAGCAATGATGATGAAAAGTATGACCTCTATGACACTGTGGAATGCATCATTAATGCAAATTACCACAGGTCAACTGAAGGCTAAGATGAAAAAACAAGGCTTATTATGTTCAGAAAGTGTAGTATTTGGATGAAAACAGAATTTAACAACTAGGATGAAAACATAAAACTTTAATTATTTTGTGTGGGTTTTGCCTGGACTTCCTTCACTACAACTCTCTATTCCGTACCTTTCTTCGGCATTTTCTTATTCCTAGGCCATGGAGGACTTGTTCTAGGTCATCTAGCCATCTTTTCTGAGGATGTCCCCTGCTTCTGCAACCTCCAGGCTTTCCTCCTAATAACTTTTTTGGGATTCTGTCTGCCGGCACTCAACTGACTACTTCTTACGAAGGACATCAGATCTGGCTCACAGTACATTTGATGGAGTTCCGCATTTTTTCTTACTCTCCATCTTCTATTACCACAAACTTCCATTGGACAAAGAGGTCCAAATATTCTCCTGAGTAATTTCCTTTCTCATAAATTCAGAATCTTTTCACTCTTTTTTGTTAGTATCTAGATTTCAGAACCATATGTCACAACCGGCTTGGTTAGCTAAGTAACACCTGTCACCGGCATGAATCGTCGCTTTAATTTCTTCTAAAATTTCATCATGCTCAGTAATGAGAGATTCCAAATATTATTTCCCTTATAGAGATTCCCTTATAGCCCAGAACGTATGTCTGCCTAAATTTAGTTGCTCATAGGTATTATTCTGATTTTTGGATGTTCGCATGTACACTGTCTTGCAGTCATTTATTCCCATGCCGAGCATAGCAGTGGCCTTCGTAAACTCCTCAAACTTCCTCCCCCTCCCTCCCCCTAGTGCTGCTCTTGTCCTAGCTGATATCACAACATCATCAGCATAGGCTAAGTGCTGTGTCAGCAGATCATATATGGTTTCGTTTGGATTAGTCCATATGGTGTCGATGGCATATTTAAGAGCAATGTTGAAGAGAGTTGGAGAAAGAGGATCACCTTGTCTTAAGCCACTTTTTATTGTAAAAGTGTCCAACAGCCTGCCCTGTATTTTGACTTTCCAGCTAGTGTCTGATAGTGTCATCCGAATTAATCTCACTAATTTTGTAGCGACTCCTAGTTTCAGCATAACTCTTATTACATCCTTTCTATTAATGCTATTGTAGGCCTACCTAAAGCCGATGAAAAGATGGTACAGATCAACAATACATTCATATGAGTGTTCCAGCATTTTTTCAGACGGAGAATATATGATCTACTGTAAACCTACCTGGTCTGAAGCCACACTGATAGTCCTCCAAAATATTTTCTGACCATTTTTGTAGTTTTTGATTAAGTAGGATCGCGAAAACTTTATATGTTGCCATCAGCAGAGATATACTCCTGTAATTTTCGCACAAGACCTTATCCTCTTTCTTAAATATTGGACATATAATAGCCACATTCTACTTGCTTGGCATCTTTTCTGTTGTCCATACTTCTAGAATTAAGTCGTATAGCTTTTTCAGGATATCATCACCACCATATTTTAGTATTTCTGCATCATTACCGTCCAAGCCAGGGGCATCTTTTCAGTATCAGCATCTGTTGGTCTTTTTTGCAATTTTTGCCTGTATGAGATCCTAGCTAAAAATTGATCCGAATTTGAACCTGCTCCACGATAACTTCTCACATCACCTATATCTGAGGCATGCCTTGAATAAATAAGGACCTGGTCAATTTGATTTTTTGTTTTCTCATCTGGAGATACCCATGTCTCTTTATGAATACTTATATGGGGAAAACGGGTACTACTTATAACCATTCCTTTTATAGTTGCAAAATTGACTATTTGAATACCATTATCATTTGAGAGGTCGTGTTACTATGTTCCCCAATTGTGGCTCTTACCAATTTTGGGGAAATTGTGGCCTAGGTCATTCTCTGAAAATCGTCTGGCTTCTTATAGAGTTTGGATTCGTAACATAATTTTTTTTCCGGCATAGAGTTGTTAGCACTAGAGCCAACCCCCCACCTGGAAGAGCAGGTACTTTAATATAGCAGTTTCTCTCTCCTAGGCCACATCTTAATGAGCTTGGCCCGCCCATGGTTTTATATCAGAGTTTTCCTTCATTTAGGCTATAGGGCCCATCTCCCCAGAGTGCAGTTTTACGTCTTGCCCAGAATCAATGTCTGTTTTAGAACAACCCCGATTAATAATATTAGGACTGTTTTTCAGAGGGGCTATTTACATTGATCATTTAATAATTGGAGGATTCCTGATGTGACAAGAACAAATAAAATACTGTTGTACCTTTAATCTTGCGATTACTATGACTATGAGGAATAAGATAGAATGTAATGTTAGGTAAATAACAAAACTGATTTCTACCTGAAAAAGCATTTCTTTTTCAAAGTATAACAACCCCTTCTTCTTTGCTTGAATCAAAAGTCCAACAACCTTGTTGCTTATCCTTGTGTATGTCTGCAAATTTTGAATTTCATTTAGGACTTTAAGGAAAGAAAAAAAAAAATCTGTTCTAGTACATTTGTCATTATTTCAATTAAAATAATGTTATAATTGCTACTACAATCTGCTTTATCAATAGCTAGATCATAAAATAATTTTAATTTTTGATCTCTTTAAATTAATAGAATCATGTAAAAAAAAAAAAAAAAAATCAAAATGAAACAATACTAAATTGGTTTCATACTGAAAAAATAGACAAAGTTGTAAAGTTGGTACAAAGATTCAATTTATTGTTTTAACAATATAGTGATAAAGATTTTTTTTTTGGGCCTCTATACTATTCATCACTTGATCATTTGTTGGTTAATGCTATGCATACACTAAATAAAGTAAAATTGTTAACTATACTTGTACTTCATGAATCTAAACTCTAAATAATCCATTATAGTCAATTAAAACTTATAACAAAATTCAATTTCAATGTTTATTTGCTATAAATATAAAAAAATTGTGATTTATTTTTAAAAATAAAATAACACCATGATTCTATTAATTATAAAAAATCTAACAAGAACAATCAACATAATTTTTTAATCATTCTTTTACTGATTTATATTTATAATTAAATTTTGTCAAAATAAACTCTTACAACAGTTTTTAAAAATCATTTCTGCATAAAGGTCTATATGATGTATGAATATTCTAGTTCCTACCTCAAAAAGTTCTCCGAAAGTAACTACAATATTTCTGTCATCTGCGTCATCCTCATCATCACTTTCATTTCTCGGCGAATTCATTTCCTTATTCAGCATAGCAAGTTCATAGATGACATTGCACAACTCTAGAATTTCTTTGTTAATATGAGACTTTGCTTGTAGACCTCTCATCTCAGTTTTTGAACCAGCCTGGGGTCTTAAAAAATAATTTTTGTAGAGAGAAAAGCAAAGTACCAACAACTATTTTATTTAACCAGTAAAAAAAATAATAATTTATGGCATCATCAATGCCTGTTGTAATTATGGTAATATATAATATTGATAAATAGTAATTACTGTATTACAATAATATTGTATTGTTGATGTATAATTCATTTATCAAGGAAAATTTATTATTAGAATATTTAAATATTTATTCATCTAATTTATACTGCTAAATTCAACTACAAGTTGCTAAACAAATTTATTTTTTTTATATATAAAAATATTATTTAAATATTTTTGAGTTTAAAAATTATTACTTTTGCATGTTTACTAACTAATAAAAGATGAGTACTTCTGATTTATTTTATTGATGATGGGTAAACTTACTAGGATGTTGGAAAAACTCAATAATAATAAACAATTTTATTTTGTTTATTTCACCTTTTTATTTAAATGGAAAATGAATCATTTTTAATCTGTTATTAGATATTGTAAGCAACAAAACTATTTCTTGGCTAGTTAAATTGAACATAAATTAAATAAAATTCTTATTACCATAATTATTTTTCAAGTATTCATTATCAAGATTGGACTTAATGTATTAATTAATTTTTAACTATGATAATTAACTATAATTAAATTCACTAAATGTGTAAAAGCACGACTATAATCTATACACAAATAAAAAGTGTCCATCACAAAAAAATTAAACACTTATCCAACTACCTTCCATATTCCTCTTTAGAAACCTTTGGCCTAGGTCCTCCACTGAAGGATCCCGAGAAAGGATTGTTGCTCTGAGTTTTCTGATGTTTGCTTGCCTCATTGTTGAATTTGTTGATGAATTTATCTAAATGCCCTCTAAGTGGCATGATAGCAGATCAACAACTGCCTTTTCCAACCTGGACCTCTGCCAAAATGTAGGCTGTGACCTGGATGCATCTTTTCAGAAATATTTCATGATTCATACAAACAATATCAACAAAGTACAGCCACTTTCTACACCTGGATTGGAACCAACAACTGCAATAAACAAATTCAGGAAGAATTGTAAGGAGAAAACATACTAAATACTCACATTTCTAGAACTTTTTTCATTAAACATAACAAGATAAGTGTGTATGAAATAAAAATTATATTTATATTTACTGTATTATATTTATTAAAATATATTTATTACTGTAAAGATTTATTTACATTTCATACTACATACAATATTACATTTCATACTATATCAATAAATATAGTTTTAGCTATGTATTACTTCCTGCCAGCTAACACATCCTCCACTAGCCACAATTTATACTTTATAATTTAGTATAAAAAAAATATATATATAGTTGGCAAATAGCTATGCAATAAATAAATTTTAATATTTACAATAGTTTACTTTACTTAGTTGCTGGAGATAAAGGTTTGAAATCCATAATTTTTATTTACAAAATCGTGTAAGAACTATTATGTTTGATTTTTAATTTTAAAATCATGCCTGATTTATAAATAAAAATTTAAATTGATCTTTAATGTTTATTGATACAATTAAAAATAATGATCACTCATTGAGTGATATTGTATTACATAAATAATAATGATTAAGTTGTGATAAAAAAATGTTGATCAGAAAATAAAAATCATCTTTTACACACAAATTAATATAATAATACATATGTTACATATTTTATTAATGTACTCATTTTTAGTATTATATTTTGGGAATTGATTTAATTGTGAATGTGGTACCTACTGAGCAGGTTACTGTTGAGTGGACAGTTTCATTGAAGTACGTCTTCAGCAACCTTTTTCCCACTTGATACCTGAGCACTTGAAAAAAAATCTTATTTCAACACTAAACTCTTTCAGCTCCATCTAGTGAGGCAGTTTATACATATATTTTGTAAGCCAAAATTTCTAACGAATTTCGTAAATAAAGATGTTCTGTTGCTAATAGTTGACAACAATATTCTCTGCCTACTACTCCAGATTTAAAATATATCATAGATATTATACAAAAAATTAAAAAAAAATTGTACTAAAAAATTATTATTATTCTTCATTGGAAAAATTTGTTAAAACAATTTGTTAAAAAAATTTGTTAAAACAACAGTTAAAACAATAATCATGATATGATTTTTATCTCTTATAATCAAAAATAAAAATCACTCTTAATGAAAATCATCAAATGATTTTTTATAAATTACAGATAAAAATTTTGATCGGATTTTATTTTTATTTTTTTTACTTATTGATTTCAAATGCTACTGGAGACCACCTATAGCATCAACATTAGAGAAAACCTTTAATCTTCATTCACGTTCAAAGAGCTACAATAATAACATAGAACATAAAAAACAAAAAGAGTCTCGGAAAAAAATTTAGTAAGAATAGATGGATAGGCAAAAAAATATTTAGAAAGAAATACAATGCTTCCTTACCTTCAGTAGTGAGGAAGCAAAAGTAATGTAAATGGTGTTTTATTAAATATAAAATATATCAATAAATTCTATTAAATTTATCCTTCAGTAGTGAGGAAGCAAAAGTAATGTAAATGGTGTTTTATTAAATATAAAATATATCAATAAATTCTATTAAATTTATCCTTCAGTAGTGAGGAAGCAAAAGTAATGTAAATGGTGTTTTATTAAATATAAAATATATCAATAAATTCTATTAAATTTATCCTTCAGTAGTGAGGAAGCAAAAGTAATGTAAATGGTGTTTTATTAAATATAAAATATATCAATAAATTCTATTAAATTTATCCTTCAGTAGTGAGGAAGCAAAAGTAATGTAAATGGTGTTTTATTAAATATAAAATATATCAATAAATTCTATTAAATTTATTAACTAATTACATTTTTATTCTTTTTTTGTGTGTGTTTTATGATGTTTAGTTTTTATTTAATTCCAGTATCTGAATACATCCTTCAATCTTTTTTTTTACAATAGTTCCCTTAAATTTTTATCTAACTGATGATCTTAAAGAACTGATTTCTAGGTGATTAAGTGTGACTGATGGATAAATCAGAACTAGTTGATCCACAAATGCCGATGTGAGGATATTTTGATTGTCAAGTCTTTATGAATTTTGAGGGTATGGCATCGAACATCCTAGATCTTTGGTATTTGTTGATTTTTAATTCTATACCTGAAAATAAAACCTATTAGCTAACTGATTAAAATTTCAACGAAAATAGAAAAACATAGAAATAAGTATATTGAATTTATGAGAATAGTTCTGTACTAATACGTTTTCATGAAAAAAATGTCACACTGATTGTCATACTTTATAAATCAAAAATATCCTGTCATAATTATAATTGGTTAATCATGTCATAATAATTGTTTTTATTTTAAAAGTACAAATAAATATTCAAAACATATTAAGTATTGAGTAATTTAAATAAAAATAGCTTTACTATTATTGACTTACATATATCAATATTTTAAACATATAATGTTCAAAAATGTACTGCTTATATTTGACAAGATATTTCATATCGAAGAAGTATTTCTTTTTAGTATTCCTAATAAATTAATTACTTTTGTTGTATTTTATAATTCAAAAATATTTTTCCACCAATTTCAGCTGGTATTAATGCCATAATATGCATCATAAAAAAGAAAAAATAATAAAAGATTTTCAGAGAAAAAATATTTAAAAGCAAAAAATTGTAATTTTAAAATTAATTCTAAATAATATGGAATGATAATTGTTGCATATTTTAAGCAGATTTCATTAATATTTTTGAAAATTCAAATGCTTTCATTTAATCTAATTATTTTTTTAAAATGATTAAAATGATTTATTGCCGGTAGGTTACGGTTACCCAAGTAGTCAGGAAATTACATAATGGGTATGTTTTATATATTAAATTTAGTGCATTATTTCAGTTTTATTTTGTTTGAATTTTATTATAAAGGATTATTCGGTCAGTTTTATTGTTTAAAATTGTTAAATTTATTATTTTCAGAAACTTCTGATATTTAAATTAATAGTAATAAATATAAAAGTGTGAAAAATGAAGTACTCAACAGTCATTTCAAGAAATATAATAATTTATCATCATGCATTACAATGTTATGTGATAATTAATAATTCAAAATTTATTAAAGAAATCTATCCATAATATTCTTGAAAAATATATAACTGAAACTTTTAGAATTAAATATAGGTAATGTTGCTCATATGATATCTACTAAGCAGGCTTCCCCCAACTCATAGAAGCACTGGCCAGACGAAGGGTCTTGGATGAGCACTGATCAGGACTGAGTTCTTTCATCAGCCAGTATGGGGCCATCAAAAATAGAAGGTAAGTAAAATGGGCAATCGGGTTTGGAGAGTGTCGCCAATCTTAGGATTCATCTTCACGTCTTTGTACTATATCTTTTTCGATTTAATTTCTCTTTCCAGTATTTAAGTCCGAAGTTAAATTGCCTGTATTTTGTTTACAATTAAGTAAAAACATTATATCTTGTTTCACAGCCTTTTGAAGTAATAAAAAAAGCATTTATTAGACTACCAAACCACCTTGTAGGTAATTTAATTCGTCTTATAAAACACTATTTCTTAATGAAGTACAAGTAAATAGTACTAAGTACTAATAGTATTACTAGTATAAAAGAATGTCTACCATGAATGTTTACCATTTGGTTATGTCTAGTTGTGGTATTAGGATAATCTGAGTATTTTCAAAATATAAGAGTTTTTTGTGTGTTTCTGCTTTGAATTTGACATAGATTGGATATTATTTAGTACTTAGTTATGAGCACGGGCGGATCTACGGGGAGGGGAGGGGGGGGGGCTTTCGGGCTGAAGCCCCCCCCAAAATGGAAAAATATAACCATGTTTTATGGGAAAAAAAATTTAAAAATACCTCTTAAAGTATTATTGTTCGTGTAACTACATTTAAAAGTACTTAAGGAATAACTTAAACACCATTTCATATAGGTAGTTAGTTTCTTTCTGTTTTTCCAAAGTAATTATCGTTATTTTTATGAAAAAAAAAGGTTTCGGGCTGAAGTCCCCCCAAAATTAAATTCTGGATCCGCTAGTGGTTATGAGTATTAGTGATGAACAATGTGAAGTCAGGGTGAAAAGACAAACAAAACATTTTAGTGCATTTAGACTTTTAAAACGTATTTGAATTATGGAAAAAGGAGATTCAATTATTGGGCCTCAAGAGGAAAGATGTGCTGGATACTAATGAGTTAATCACATTTTTTTTCATTTTTTACTGTTTTCATTACCATTTTTTTTTTAAATATAAAACTACCCATCTTACTTAATTAAATTATACCAAATAAAAACTTCAACCACCGGGGCGAATCCGGCCGGCAAACACCTTCAATCCAGCCAGGGAATGTTTCTTTGATAAGATTATAAAATTTGAAAAACTATTTAAAAATATGAAATTTAGTCAATTAATCAAACAATAGCTTACTACATCATTTATTTCATGATTTTCTTCTCTTAGAAATCTCATTTCACAGCTGAAGTGAAATTTATAAAACATTATTTTTCTTTTATCACTAGTCATCTTCCGGGGTACCTAGATGGAGGTCTCAAAGCGACCTGATGAACTTAATCGAGGTCTTAATGTGGCCAGTAGGTCAACAAGTTAGGAAACCCCTGGTCTATAGCAACACACATTGTTTATTAATAGTAATGAAATGTAAATAAAAAATAAATAGCTATAAGTCAAATATATTTTTTTTTATAAAAGAGCTCTCCTGAAAATATAAATCGAAAAAGTGTTTAAAAATAAATGCAATACAAATATTTTATCGGACACCATTCTTTTCGTTTCGATAATTTTTTTTTGTTTTCATTTTATAGAGAATTGAGGAAGCTTTCAGACACACCTGTGTTCAATGAACCAAAAATTGTGTTGTTTTTTTA